ACGAAAAATAAGCTATCTAATGGTTTTTTAATAAATCAAAATAAATAGAGGTACGGAAAAACGCACTGAAATTTTTGTTAACTTCAAAACGGTCAATAAGAGCAAAAGTTCGATTTTTACAAACAAAAAATAATATAATTTTACCAAAAAACTTTCTGAAATCACCGCTCTCGTTATAACCAATAAAATAACTGACTGATTTACCTCCCTTAGTATAGTTTAACGAATGAAATATTTGTCTTTTTACTATACAACGTCGATAAATAAAAACACAACTGTAGATATCTGCGCATTTACATAACTGTCTATGATGACTGTCTTCGATTATAGCAATGAGGAAAGGGTTGATCTTTTAACCGTTTATCTATTGAAAGTCGTTGGTTCGGTTTTAAGAGACGATATATAGACGAAATGATGGATTTTGCATGTCGCAATAACGTCACATGCTGATAGTCAATTATGATGCCGTCTGGCAAATTTGTGTCAATTATTTCATGAAGAATTGAAGTACCTGCACACACAAAAAAAAGTTTACTGTCAGTTTTAGGGGAAAAAATCGACCTAGATGCACTCGATTTCTGCTGAATATCGGGCTAAACATTGGCTCTTAAAAAATGAGCTTCCTCTGCACATTATGAAAAAGAGTATGTTCTTTCAGGGAATTCTTAGAAAGAATCACCTTTCTCTGAAACGTTATTGGACCACTTCTGCTATAGTGTTACTCTCTTCTTTTGTTTTTAAAAACACTCATCAGTTCCGTTGCTGACTTACCTAAATGTCCGTACACATTAGCTTTCTTCTGTTCTGCTTCTACTGATTCTTTTTCATAAGCTGATGGATGACGGAGGACAACTGGCTACTCTAACAAGTGGTCGACTCTATATTAAAAAACATAGTGCAATTTTGCAGTGTTTCAGACGTGATCGAAAATGGGTTGAGATTTGGACTAATCATGATATCTTTGCAGGTGTCCAGACAAGGACTCACAAATGACTGCGAGTCAGTGCATCACTGTAGTTCACGAAATATTTTACAGCAGTTACCTTTCTTTTTGATAAATCCAATCATATTGATACTGCTTCTTAACCAAAGCTCTGGATCTGGTTCTTTATGTCGGACCCAAATTGAAATCAGTGGCATATTGTATCTTCTACATTAAAAGCTGTTATTAAACAGCAACATCCAATTTATTGGGTACAAGACATAGAGACACAAGAACAATTTCGGGTCCATGTTAATGATTTACGACCCGTTACTAGAGCAGACGTTATTTAAATCTTCCTCTTCACAACCTCTCCATCTCATTGAATTAATCTATCTGTTTGTTATGGCTATGGTCTTAATTCTGGTTGATTTTGTTTGACCTAAGTGAAAGGTCTACGAAAATTTAAAAAAATGAAATATTAATCATATTTGAAAGAAAAGTTAAGATAAAATGTGCATGTGATCGTGGCTGAATCACCGTACTTTAAGCGCATAGAAATATTTTTGGATAAAAATACCGATCCGAAAATAGTATAAAAAAATCTCCTTTTTCTCATATGAAATCTTTTTGAAGGGAAATGATGAATATCTAATTCATACAAAATTAAAGAAAATGGCTACAAATTACCTGTGCTCTTGCATCATTGCTCCGATGTCACCGATTCCAATCCACAGGTTAGTAAGTTCGCTTTGTTACCCAATCCTCTCTCGTGACTCATAAGTGGGTGGAGTCAGATCAGGCAGGTTAGTGCTAGGGCCGAAACAGTCACTGGGATTGATCCCTGAAAGGCATCGACGAAGAGGGATTGAGGAATAACAGATAACAAAGAATGACCGCGCTACAAGTACTGATAAAAGAGAAAGCGACGACTCTTTGTCTTTCTTGTTAGCAGTGACGAAAAGGATGAAGTATATGCCTTGTTGTCTCAATCACTTCCTAATCTGTTCGTTTCTCGACTCTTCAATACAAAATTGACATGACATTTGGGTGATTGAACTGTGAACTAGTACGTTTTTCAATGTCAAATACTTGAGATATATCTTACCAATGTTCATCTAGATCCCATTTCAATCTCGATCCACAATTTTCTAAGGTCACATGTTCCATCTCATGATAGAACACGGGATGAGACTAAGTTCGAGTTCTATCTATCACCTTGTTGTTGAATGCAACTCATTTTGATATTGCATTGACGAGTTTGTTTGTAATCTTCTGTTCATATTCATTAATTCGAGGTGTTCTAAACATGCTGAAATACTGAAGTGAAACACTTCCCAGGTACTACGAGTGATTGTCTAATCGCTACTTATGTCCGACACAAAGAAAGAGATGACAGAGAGTTTCAGCATTGACTAGGACCCTTTCCTTTGAAAACCAGCCACCGATTTCACTCGCATTCAAAACAAATTTGCTCAAAAACTTTCTCAGCGATCTTCAAAAGATTCGAAAGCATTGTCAACGGAGAAACTCCGATGTAAAAACGACCCGAAGAAATTCGAAGTTGATTGATGAATGCTTTTCTCACAGGACCAAACCGAGATAGGATAAAGATCCGTAAGACCGGATAGATTTTTCGTTGTCACACAGAAGTCTATTAGGAAAGTACAATTGTCATTGTGTATTCTTTCTTGACACATCAAGTCCTTGAGCTTCTCTTGTGTGATGTTCAGATGCGGCCATGAAGCATCAGACAATGTCAAGTGCGTTCACTTGGTGTCAAAGATTGAGCGAAAGTCGTTCGCCTTGTTAGCACCGCCATGCTCGGTTTTCGAGTGTGATCGTTTCATAGTGATATGATGGGCCGCAATCATCATCGCCGAACCAGAATGAACTGTCTAGTAATTGTAAGGTCATGGGTCCAGCCTATCATAAGAGATACTTCGAAGTTCTTGTCACTCGACTGTCAATTGTTACACGAAGGAAGAAGATGGCCGCATCTGAACATCACAAAAGAGAAGCTCAAAAACTTCTAGAAAAGTAGAAAATTCTTCTTTAACGACGAGCGAGAAAATATTCAAAGAGATGACTGGATTATCTACTCGATGCAGAGAGAGAAACAAAGCTAAGAAAACTCTTTCTGTGGTTTGCAGATAGATGTCACCAGAAATCAGTCAATTTTGATAACACAAAAAATCATCTACGGATAATAAAACATGCATAATATACATAGGCTATTATGGCGAATCGATTAGGAATACTTTCAGCCCCCTTGAGCTCTTTAGAAGGTGTCCAGAAAACTTGTTAGCTTTATATTACATTACGCGCTTTTTCCGTGGAATCAGGGAGGTTTTCTCCGCAAACCTGACCGTGACCATTGTCTTGAATATATGAGTATTTTTAGATCTCTTTGGATCTTCGGAGGATCTCGAGAAAACTTTTTAGATTTATATGATATTACAAAGCTTACACATCAAATCAGAAAAAATTTCATAATATACTGTCGATAACCCCTTAGCGGACACCGACCGAAGCGAGGCATGAACGTTTTCGGATAAGCTCAAAAATAATAGCATTAGCACCTTTTAATTTGATAAAAGTGGCTAAAACTCATACTAATACGCCACATATATGTCATGCGTAAAAGACCTCTATTTTTATCTATCAACTGAATTCGCCAAGAGATCTTACATAGATGTGAGACATCATTTCAAATTTGATGAAGACTTAGACTTAGAGAATCGAAGTTAGGAAAGGTCATCGTGAAATCGTTTGGAAAATGTATGTTGTGAAAATGGAAATCATCAGTTGGGGTAATTATAACCAGTCAACGTACTCCGCTGGGGTAATTATAAACAGTTAAGAGCAATGGCAGTAATTAAGGGTGATGAATTTTCAGAGAATTTTTCCATCAGCGCATAGCTGAGAGTCGTATATATCTACCTGTGTAGTCATCATTTTTCTCCGACTAAGAATGGCTTAATCATTCGTAAAATACTGAGAAAAAGTTTATGCCTGGTTATAATTATCCCAGTTTACTCTAATAGAAATATTGCCTGTATTGTACGAAAAAATGATGTGCACTTGGATCATAATACGGACTTTGAAAAAATGTTCTAGATTCCAGATTGTATAGGTTGCAGGCATCAAAGAGCCACTACGATTTGATTTTTCCAGAAGAACAAATGAAAATTGATGGATGAACAGAGCTATGACTATGCTTAAAATAGGTGAATCATTTTTTGGACTTCAGAGTTTTGGATCAAATGATGGAGAAAAAATACCAAGCAATCTCAATCAAACACAGTATTTTCTTTCTAAGCTTATAGTATGAATTTACTATAAGCATCTATCAGGGAAATTTTGAAGACTATTTTTTCCTAGACATCAGAGTTCCGCAGTCGAATGACCATTTACACTTTAAAGGAAGTTTCATCTTTTTCATTTCCGTAGAATTTTTATTCAAAAAATAATCAAAAAAGAAAAAAACAACAACGCAAACAACACATATTAGGCATATATATATATACATACACACACACATACAAAGGGAGCTGAGATGCTATCAACTTGAATCTATATACTCTATCATATCCTCTTATTCTCTGTCGACCATCTATTGGTCAAATATATAAATATTTTTCGTTATGTTCTCTACAAGCAATATACAAGATTTCCAATAGGAAATACATTGACGAAAAAAAAGTGGTAAAATCATGCAAAAGAGCACAATAAACTACACAACGAATCAGTAACCAAGCATAGGCAACCTTTAACTTTGTAAGAAAAGAAATTAAAATTTTATGGGCGTGACCAGAAAACAAGAAAAAGAAAAACACGAGTGTTTGTCACCTAACAATTTTTATCGAACACAACAATTACAAAAGAAGGAAACCCTTAATTTCAAACAAGATGTAATATTGTGTTCTTGTGAAAGTATAAATTATTTGTCGTATAGCTTCAACAGCAAAAGTGAATAGTCTAATTATATTTTACAATAGTAACAGAACAAATGAAAAAAAGTTGAAGATCATACGTTAAAAAAACAATAGCAACATTTTCTATTGCACACGTTTTATCATATATGTTGCGTTGTTGCTTCTTGTTTATGTTCAGTGTTTAGATGATGTGGTATAGTTGTTTGTTGTAGAGATGAGTGTAATAATGAGGATGAATCATCAAGAGTATCATCTTGAAATAAAACGGATGAATTATTTTGTGAATCATCATTAAGAAGACCGTTTGTTGTCACAATTTCCTGCATTTGATGATTTTGTTGAAGTAAATCATTTGATGAATTCAATGTTAATGTTGTATTATTATCGCCAGTTGTTAGGCCATTAGTTGTCGATGGTTTATTCATTACGGCTGTTGTCACTAAACCACCGTATTCATCGAAACGAAACGGTGTAGTATTGTTACTGGCACATATCAACTGAAACAAGAAAATAACACTTATCAGTTGATGAACATTCACGACTACAAGATGTACTGAAAACTCTTTTAAACAGAAAGTAAGCTAAGTTTTGTAGAATCATTTCGAACAAACACAACAGTTAAGATCCAAAAACAAATGAATTTGTTTGAATGACTACGAAAAATTAATGAATGTCACGATGTCATTAGCAGTACTATTATTATCCTTTCTGGAAACGAGACGGCTCGGCAGAATGCTTATCACATTTGAACGATAAGCCATAGAGACATGTCAGTCTCAGCTCTCTATCTCTTACGATGCAGGAGCTATAAGCATTTTCCCGAGACACCCGATTTCGGCCAGTTGACCTTGGGGGATCCTAAAAAGGTTAAGATAGGGGTAATTGGCTACGCTGAGTCAAGTGGTGATGTTTATTTTTAGTTTCGAAGCGAACTAAAGTCACTATATCAAGATTTTTGAAATATCCGCTCTATACGCAACATAGTGGTAGAATGCTTTAATTTGAAAATCTTGATATAGTGACTTTAGGTTGATTTGAAACTAAAAGTAAACATCACCACTCGACTCAGCGTGGCTGATTACCCCTATCGTGACCCTTTTTAGGATCACCCAAGGTCAACTGGCCGAAATCGGAGCTCTCGGAAAAATGCGTATAGCTCCTACATCGTAAGAGGTAGAGAGCTGAGACATCTAGAATTGTAGATCTCGGTTTGGGCTATCGATTTCACTGTTTGAAGATCAAGATCCAACGTATGGTCTAAGAACGGCGGTCTCGTAGACTTTGCATCGAAAGGCTTATCATGGTAAACCTTACCTGGAAGCCTAGTTTTTGCATACGCCTACGTCCCTCGATGTTCTCTATCCAACGGGGAAAACCGCATGACTCTATCACTTTTCGTTCAAATGGGATAAGCATTCTGCCGAGCCGCCTCGTTTTCAGAAAAGGATAATAATGCCTTTGTATTGGTTGTAAGCTATAAGAAATTCTGTTTCTCAAGAATCACAATCTAATGAGGGTTCTTCTAACATAAAAACAAACTTAGTAAACACTTGTTATTCGAAATTAAGAAACAAAAATATTTTTAGAGTTTCTCCCGAACGTATGAAACTCTAAAAAGTTAATTATCCACAGAACGTACTTCAGCTCGTCCACGAGATTTGATTTGTTGATGTATATTTCCATTGTTAGCTGAATCCAAAATAACGACCTAAAAAGAAGATAAATTAAAAACATGTACTAAGAGAACACATGGTTTTGTGCTTTACTTACATCCATTCGATGTTTTTCTGTAATATGTTTAATAAATTCATCGACATTACTTTGATAACGACGGCATAAACCACATTGAAATCTAAACATACACAAAATGATAAAAGTAAACATATAAATAATTAATTAGTCGTTTTAATTACTTTGTATTTGGATTAGATAGAAGTGCATCATTCGATAATAAAACAGGTGTATTCGACTGTCCAGCATGATTATGATGCAGATGACGCTAAAAAGACGAACAGATATATTTAAAATTAGAATTTCAAAGGTAACAGAATATCTTACTTTAAGATTTGTTTTTTTATCCGTAATATACGAGCAAAATGTACAAACATGAGACGATTCATCAAGTTGTAAATGTTCATTTTTAACGTGTTCATTCAAATGATATAATTTCGTTGTGGAAAATGGACATTTCTGACATGTAAAGACACATTTTGAAATGACTTTATAACACTGGGGTACGGTACCATGTGGAGGAGGAATATGAGGCATATCGGGTGTCTAAAAAAAGAATGGGAAAATTTAAACAACAATAATAACAACAGATCGAAAACACATACTCGTTTCATTAAATCTTGACCGATTAACCGATTCCCTCTACCAATTTGTGGTATATTCAATTTATGAATTGATGTTAAATGACGTTTTAAATGTTCCATTTGATAAAATTTATTATTACATTTTGGACATTCATAATTTCGTTGACCTTGATGATAGAGCATGTGACGCTAGAAAATATAGAACAATCATCTACATTTTGTCTATGTTCGACAGATTTCAATTTACCTTCAATTTTGAAAAACTTTTACAATTGTAAGGACACAAATTACACTGAAATTTATTTGTTTGACTTGAATGACTGTAGATATGATTTTGAAAATCCTAAAGAGAGAACACATGTAAAGACTTTTAATTCATCAAATTCTGTGCGTTAGATAAAACACTGTCATAAATAATACTGATCTTTTTAAATACAACCATTTCAGAAACATTCGTGTTAAATCTGATGTGAAAATGTTTCAGTAATTCTCAAGTTTAAAAGCTTACCGAATAATCATGAAATATTGTATCACATTTTGTACATTTCCATTCTTTTTTGTATGTTTTTGGTAGATTATTCAATATGTCTAAACCTTCAATATCCCAATGGCGTCGTGCCATATGAATTTTAAGATCAGCATTTGTTGCAGCCATAAATGAACAATACGGACAAGGGATAGATCTAGAAAATGAAAAAATATAGAATTATATTTGTTCGATCAGAAAAAGTCGAGGTTTTTTTACTTTTCCAAATGTTTATGTGCCATATGTCGTTTGACATGTGTCGTTGTACATCCACGATAATGACAAAGTGGACACTGAAAATCTTTTCCTTCACTTCCCATGTGAACACGTAAATGACGTTTCATATTTGCAATTCCAAGAAACTTTTTACCACAATGATCACAAACAAAGTCAAATGGATCAAGTTCTATACAAAAATAAAAATCAACAAATATCAGTGCTGAACACGATAAAAACTAAATGTGCTAATATGTACCGGCATGTTTTTTTGCATGTTTAATTGCTTCAGACTTGGAAGTAAATGCTTCACCACATTCATGTACTTTACAACAATATGAATACATCATTTGATCAGACTACAGAAAGAGACATTATACCGTTACAAGTTAAAAGAAAATAGGAAAGAAAACAAACCTCTGGGCTTAATGGATCACCTGGTAATATACGTGCTTCAAATAAACATTCTAAAAATCTTGGATACATTTCTGGACATTGCTTAAAAGAATGTTTTGATACAATTCCAGAACGATTAAAATCAAAAAATTCTTGTTCTTCTTTGAAAACAATCTAAACAAATAACAAATAGTCATCGTTCTTTGCGTACAAATAAGATGAGAGATAATTCATGTTTCTATTATAGAAAAGATAATATTTATTTACTTTGAGTATATGTGCTTGTAAATCGCCTCGTCGACATTCTTCTAATACCAATCGTCCATAACCATTTTCAGTTTGTTCAATTAAACGTTTTGCACCATTTTTATCTAATTTGATTGATACTACACGATTTCCACGTTCATCACAAACAAATGTGCGTCCTTTTCGATTAAATAAATCACTATATTGAAATGATGGTTCAAATTTAACATTTGACGAATCATTGCCATCTGCTTTTAATGAGCCCATAACTAAATCTGGTAACTGTGATGAATTAAATAAACTATGATGACTATGACTTGTAGATGTGGTACCTGATGTAGTTGTCATATTTGTATTTAAATGATCCGATATATCATCATCATCAAAATCGAGCACCCTATTTATTGAATCTAATTCATCATCATTTAAATCCATACCTAAAGGATTAAACGTAAATAATGATAGTGGAGCACTTTCGGTGAGTGTAAAAAAATATTAATATGTTATTTTGAACAAAACTTAGCTCGATGTAGCAGATGCCTACGTTCAACAACAAATAACTCTATACGTCTTCTCAGTATAATAAATACCTAACGTAGACTTTACCGCTTAATCTAGTCGATCTATCTTTGCAATTCTTACCTAAATCACTTGAGTTATCGTGATCATATTTCGAATCAAAATTTAAACTTAAATAATCATCATCTTTCGAGTCAATAAAATTTCGACGTGATGATGAATTAAAACGATGTGTTAAACGATTTCCTCCTCCTTCATAAGTGTTGTAACTGTTGTCATTTGAATCTTGAGACGTATGATGTGGCCGAATACGTACAACAGGTTTTATGTCGGCATTTGTGGTCACCGATGAGGATGAATAATTTTGTTGTTGACGAGAATGATTGTTAATTGTTAAAGAGAGATCATCATTTGAATCACCAAACATAGACGAGGAAATTTTGATTTTATTATTTGGTAGTACAAGAACATCAACAGATAATTCATTCAGTTGATCATCGACATTTTGGGAATGATGACGTATTTGTTGTGACGGCTGTTGCTGCTCATAGATCAAATCAGCATCAACTTTATAACGTTTAGAAGGAACAAAATCATCTGATAACCGTTCGACAAACACAGCACATGGCCGAATTAAATTGTAATTTTTCATCTCTAAAAATAAAAAAAAAACAATCTTATACGCATGAGAAATGAGGATTGAAAATGATCAGCTGACAAAAAAAAAGCCTTTTTTTAATAACAATGCTTATTTATTATTAATACGATGCACGTTTGCTGCACAGGACTGAAAGTGTATCTTCTCAACTGCTTAAACACTTGACGAGTAAGACGTTGTGAGCATTCCGGAAAAAACAATTTTATTTTGTTATAAATCTATCTATAATTGTTTCGAGGCTAATATCACAACTCTATTTATTAAAGAAATCCGGTTAAAAATCTTCTAAATTTTATAGTATATCTTCAGCTAAGAAACTCAGAACACTTCTTTTTCTAATTTGTCTGACAGAAAAACTAGATTATCGAAATGCATTTTTCGTTTTTTTTTCAATTTGACAACTCCACCATATTTTTTTTAAAGTTCTGAGAAAAAGATCGCTTGGATACAGTAGCCACTTACTTGTTATCTACGCCTTGATATAAACGAATATTAAAAGCACACACCACATGTACACTACTGCATGCTCAGATGAGACAGACTTTTTTTAATACTAACTTGAAATAATGCACTTACCATGTTTCTTTCTCAAACAATCGACTCATACAGACACCACAGTTCAAAATTTCATTAGCCTATTAAATTTTGAATGAAATCTGATCATTAATTTTTCTTAACGAATTTTAATATTGTATGGAAATTTTAAACTTATAATTTCTTTTTTCAAAAGTAAAAAAAAGTAAGATTTTTCGTAAATTTCTTTGTTTTCTACTACTGAGGACATCTGTCGCCATCAATAACATTTCTGAAGTGTAGACAGTCGTTGATGGCGTCTTGTTAAAAATTGGACAACGATATTGCATCCTTGTATTTTATTTCACCTGTCATGTGGCGAAATTTATTGCTGGTAGCAGTTGATGAAATGATGGATGATGTTCGCTAGTTTTCAGCCTATTCTTCCCTCAAAGTGGAATATCCCACACTACATATTTCCGTTTGAATCATAGTTAGCGGTTAGAGGGAAAATAGTAACTAATTTGCTTAATACTCAGAATCTGTCGATGTAAATAGCCGGTATTTTTATTGTATACATACTTACTTCATTATACCCTTTTGAGTAACGAAACAGATAATGATTGGAGCATGGCAGTATGGAAGTTCTGAGTATCTTTGTACTATAGAGCCATGTCAAATACCAAATAGCTAAAATATATTTCGATTTCTTTTCTATCTTGCACATGATGCGTACATTTCTTTTCTATATTAACGTGAAGAAAACTAGCAAGAATAAAAGGAAAGAGAAGCGTAAAAGCATGTGCAAAATAGAAAAGAAATTGACATATATCTTGGATATTCCTTATTTGATACGGCTCTGTATGTTTTTTTGAGATATTGATTCAAAAGTTCTGTTTTTTACTTTACTGTCCGATACACTTAGTCCATCCGTTCTTTTTGTTGATCTTTAAGATTCATAAAGCATCTCAATTAATTTTAATAAGTTCTTCGAAACCCATTGTAATATTTTTTATCTGTTCTAGATATAAGCAACATTCTACTGTTGTATCTTGATTAACATGATGCTTACGTTTCACACTCGTTTAACCGTTCAGAAAATGCTTTCGAATAAGCCTAATTTATTTGAATTATCGAAAGCATCCGGTTCAACATTAACAATGGAAAATTTGAATCCACTAGTTAAGTTGGTACAATATGCTGTTCGTGGTGAAATTGTTACTCGAGCAGCAAAAATTGAAAAAGATCTTAAAGACAACAAGGTATTTTTCGTCTGATTGTTGTTCCTTAGACGAGCGTAGTAGAATATAGTTTGCCCTCTTCACAGACGGCAGAGATATGTGAGAAATTAGGATATTATCCACATAAAAAATGTTAAAATCTTTTTTTAAAAGCATGTGCTCTAAAATCCACCACTACTCGTCTACTCTGACGAATATTATTATCCTGCTTAACAAAACACGTACCGTTCACCTGCATGTAAATTGGTTGGTTAACTGTTATCTCTCTTTTTTAAGTAGAGAATGTGAACAAAGAAATATATGTATACTAAATACTGCATGATACTCGTCGTACAGTGGGGAATTTTCATTAGGCACGTGGACATTAGGTTTTAGACAAGTTCACGAAACTCAGAACACTCTTTTTATACGTTTTCTAATGTGTTATTTCCAATGGCACCTTTTCAAAGCTCAAAACCCCGTCAAACCGGTTTTCTAGAAATTCCTGGGTTTCCAGAGACCAAAACGGTTCAAAAAGTGCTTATTTCCTTGAGGAAATAATTGTTCATAGGTTTTCGAGTATCCTGATTTCAAATCTAATAGCAGAAACTGCTTTCAGAACGTTCCAGAAGGTTTTCCAGAGAGCTGAGTTTCTGGAAAACGCTTTTGTTCGGAAAATACAAGATAATTTCTTTTATAGGTTATTTCACATGCCGATTACAATAAGACTGAGTGAAAACTCGTCACTATTCTGCTCAGTGCCCACCACCACCATTGGCTCTTTTTTTGTTTCGTATTAGCCAAGTCCATAAGCTGTTGCACATTCTAGAACGGCGATTAGTTTTAGTGGTTTTTTTGAGAGTGTTGCGAACATAATTTTTCCCGTAGTTTAATGTCTTTGCGGCCGGCAGTGCACGAAAAACGCTCTGAACACTCTGAAACGTTACTTTTTTAGAGCGTTTTTCGCGCACCACGACGGTCACAAATTTTCTATTCCAGTAGTATTGGAAGATACAACATTCGATGTAGTTTTTTGCGCTGATTCCGAATCTTACCTTATTTTTCAATAAAAATGTTTCCGGAGTGGAAAAAATGGAAACTAACTGGAAAATCGAGGTTTTTTTCGAAAATTTGCTGTCTAGTGTTGTTGATGCTAATTCGCGCTAACAGTATCGATGTAGTATATATAGATCAACATTCTATGAAAATTTCATTGAGTTTGAACTTTGGGAAAATCTGGAAAACTCATTATACTGAGGACCGCTCTTCGGAAAACACTTAGCGGAGAAAGAAAAAGCATTTTTCCATACAGGAAAGGTTAAGAAAAAAAATTCTTTTTATAAATCGGTAGTCTGAAAGTTCTAGTTTTAGAATATGTCCGATTCATAACTCAATGTCTTCTGCTTTGTGCACGACAAGATCGTTTTTTATAGCACCAAGATTTTCGGGCTAAATTTTGAAAGTGTGTTATCTCACTAACTGTGACACTTAGAAAAAAACTTCCAATGGCAAAAAGATAGTGCGTTTGCTGAAGTATATGAGTTCCTAGTGAATGTACTCAAGTGTGAGTACTCAAAAAGTACTCTGCTAGAAAAACCGGACGAGTACTCATACGTACTCATACATTTTTTTACTCACTGAGTACTCACCTGAGTATTCACCGGAGTACTCATGAGTGAGTAACAAGTACTCTGAGTACGACTTTGAGTACTCATGCTTGGGTATTGTTGAGTACTCATACCACTTTCGGCAAAATACTCATGAGTATTGTTCATCTGATATTTTCAC